TGAAAGTGTTAGTCACTCAGTTGTGTCCAACTCTTTGCAACTCCATGAACTGTAGCCCACCAGGCTCCTCTGTCCATGGAGTTCTGCAGGAAAGGATACTGGAGTGGGTTTCCATTTCCTTCTCCGGGAGAATCTTCTTGACCCAGGGATTGAACCTGGGTCTTTGGCACTACAGGCAGATTCTTTACCTTCTGAGCCATCAATGCATGTATATTATGCTCCAGTATAAAATAAAAAATAAGTCACCCTGCTTATTTAACTTATATGCAGAGTACATCATGAGAAATGCTGGGTTGGAGGAAGCACAAGCTGGAATCAAGATTGCTGGGAGAAATATCAATAACCTCAGATATGCAGATGACACTACCCTTATGGCAGAAAGTGAAGAACTAAAGAGCCTCTTGATGAAAGTGAAAGAGGAGAGTGAAAAAGTTGGCTTAAAGCTCAACATTCAGAAAACTAAGATCATGGCATCTGGTCCCATCACTTCATGGCAGATAGGTGGGGAAACAGTGGCAACAGTGGCTGACTTTATTTTTCTGGGCTCCAAAATCACTGCAGATGGTGACTGCAGCCATGAAATTAAAAGACGCTTACTCCTTGGAAGGAAAGCTATGACCAACCTAGACAGCATATTAATAAGCAGAGACATTACTTTGCCAACAAAGGTCTGTCTAGTCAATGCTATGGTTTTTCCGGTAGTCATGTATGGATGTGAGAGTTGGACTATAAAGAAAGTTGAGCACAGAAGAATTGACCCTTTTGAACTGTGGTGTTGGAGAAGACTCTTGAGAGTCCCTTGGACAGCAAGGAGATCCAACCAGTTCATCCTAAAGTAGATCAGTCCTGGGTGTTCATTAGAAGGACTGATGTTGAAGCTGAAACTCCAATACTTTGACCACCTGATGCGAAGAGCTGACTGATTTTGAAAGACCCTGACGCTGGGAAAGACCGAGGGCAGGAGAAGCGGATGACAGAGGATGAGATGGTTGGATGGCATCGCTGACTCGATGGACGTGGGTTTGGGTGGACTCTGGGAGTTGGTGATAGACAGGGAGGCCTGGCATGCTGTGGCTCATGGGGTCCCAAAGAATCGGACACAACTGAGTGACTGAACTGAAAAAATTGATGTGTTTATTCAGTTAAATGCAATTCCTTATGCTTTCCTTTCTATAGCAGACAATGTTTCTATAGCAGACAATGTTTCTAAGACAGGGAAGCCACTGGACATCTAAATAAGTCAGAGGACTTCTTTGTCTAGGTTTGTTCTTCCTCAAAGGAACACCCAGAAAGAGGGTATTAAAGATATTAAAGGAACAAAGGACTTACATGGGAAATGGATGCTAGCCACTGCTTAGCGAGTTGAAAACAGCGAATTTTTAAAACTGCAAATACTTGTTTAAAAAGAGAAGTGTTCTCACTCATATATTGTCAATGGAATTGTAAATTGGTACAGTTTTTATATGGAGGAGATACTGGCAGCAAATGCTCAAAGTCATGAAAATATTTATATCCTTTGACCCAGTATTCAATTTTTCTGGGAATTTATCCAAAACAAATAATTAAAAAGAAGACATAACCTATATAACAAAGATATACCCAACTACCCTATATATAATAACAAAATCCAGAAAATAACCTATATGCCAAATAATAAGGAACTATTTAAATAAATGATAGATTTCCAACTAAAGTGGAATATTACATAGTTATGAAAAATGATGGCCATGCTATACACCAAATGTAGTTTAAATAATTCAAAATTTTTCAAGTGTTTGGTAAAAAGATATGCATCTATGAGTTACCTTCCACAGATGAAAGGGCAAATTCCAAAGCACTTAATGAAGGTGAAAAGAAAATTCACAATCTGGGTCAAAATGCAAAGAAATGGAATAACTCCAAGATAGGAGTGGGAAAATTCAGACTTGTAGATGTACTTCTAAATTTTTAAGTTGTGCTCTGGAAAGAAGCACAGCACACATTAATACTGATGACTGGCTTTAAGAACAGACTGCACAGAGAGTAGCAAGCTATCTTTGGACTGCTCTGAATATAATCCCCCTGTGTGCTGGAGATCACAGAACGATTCCCAAGGGTTGTTGAAGAGCAGAAAACTGCCAGCATCTTGCATGCAGAATCCCTTGGGAGCAGGAAAGTTATTTTGGAATAAGACTTTTTCAAAATCACAAAGGTTCAGATCTGGCTGTCCTTGAACACCCTTAAGTGACAGATGACCAAATCTCCTTTCTATAAATTAAAAGAGGGGAAATGATGACTCCAGGTCCTTTGTGCCCGCCTTTAGTGCAGATGGCTGGTACTTCTAGTTAAACATAATTATCCCCTAAATTCTGGGTGTATAATTCAGTGGTTTAATGATGCTGTACCGAACGGCTGGACTCTCATAGAACCTGAGGCCATGTCCAGTTTCTTTGGCTACTTATTAGCTCAAGTCCTCCATGCTGGGACCAGGGCAAGAACATTAAGGCAAAGTTCCAAGCTGTTTCTCATTTTCCCAGGCGAAGGAGTAGTTAAATGTTTGGACTTGAATGAGACATCCTACTAGGTTGGATGCTGTAGAAAAGGGAGAATTTATGGGGGTGTGGAATAGCAGAGGGCTAATAATTAAGCAGAGGAAGTCAATACAATAAACTGGGAAACAAGAGCTTGCCTGGGTCAGCCACACAAGTTACAGGCTCTCTCTCTCTCACACACACACACACACACACACATGAACATACATGTACACACAGGTTAATTGTTGTTCCAAAGCCATCAGAACTCCAGGTTTGACACTAACATTTTCATAAAAGGATATTTCAGATTAGGGTTGGAGAAATGACACATGATTTATCTTAAACTCAAGAGGCCAAGGTACAATTGGAAGTTAGAGGCAAAAAATTCCAAGTGAATGTAGTGAAGTAAACGGGAAGCTTTAGAAAAGAACTTGGGTGTTCAGAAATCTAAGAGTAACACTCAGATGAGATAATATCATGATTAAAAGCTGACCAGGGGAACTGGGGGTGTGATAAACATCTACACATTTAACATCAGTCATCCAAATATCTAATTACCTCTGGAGTTCGTGTGTGTTAGTCACTCATTCGTGTCCGACTCTTTGTGACCCCATGAACTATAGCCTGCCAGGCTACTCTGTCCATGGAATTCTCCAGGCAAGAATACTGGAGTGGACTGCTTTGGCTCCAGACAGCTAGTCTGCCTGTACCAAGTTGGCTTTCAGCCAGCAACTACGTATGGGAAGTTTATGTGCTTTGGAGAATGAATTAAGAGGCAGGGCGGGAGTGGTAATGGTGAATTTGGAGCTCCAAATTCAAGCATGTTTTAAGTAACTGAATCAGTGTTACATACTTTGGGGAAAACTAGTCAATCCTACAGGAAATCAACCCTGAATATTCACTGGAAGGACTGATGCTGAAGCTCCAATACCTTGGCCACCTGATGCGAACAGCCAACTCATTGGAAAAGACCCTGATGCTGGGAAAGATTGAAGGCAAAAGAAGGGGCGACAAAGGATGAGATGGTTAGATAGCATCACTGACTCAATGCACATGAATTTAAGCAAACTCCGAGAGATAGTGAAGGACAGAGGAGCCTGGCGTGCTGCAGTCCATGGAGTCGCGAACAGTCGGACATGACTTAGAGACCGAAGAACAGTCGCAAATTTGGGAAAAATCCTCACTGCAGTTGTGGTGCACTGTTAGAGGAAGCTGTGGCCTGATATGATGCAGGGATCAAAGCACATAATGTGGATGTTCCTGAGCATACACCCAGACAAAACCATAATTCAGAAAGATACATGCACCTCTACGTTCACGGCAGCACTATTTACAACAGCCGAAACATGGAGACAGCCTCAGTGTCCATTGACAGATGAATGGATACAGAAGACATTGTACTTACACGCAAAGGAGTATCACTCGACCATTAAAAAGAATGAAATAATGCCACTTGCAGCAAATGGATAGACCTAGAGATTATCATACCAAGTGACTTAAGTCAGAAAGACAAATACCATAATCGATATCACTTATATGCGGAATTGAAAATGTGACACAGTGAACATATATACAAGTAGAACTCACAGATACAGAGGGCAGACTTGTTGTCAAGGGGGAGGGGGGATGGCGGGACAGAGGATTGGGAGTTGGGGATTAGCAGATGCAAACTATTATATTACTATACAGGATGGATAAGCAACAAGGTCCTACTATAGCACAGGGAACTATATTCAGTATCTTGTGACAAATCATGAGAATATGAAAAACTGGAAAATATGAAATATGGAAAAGAGGATGGAAAAATATATATGATGGAATCACTTTGCTGCACAGCTGACATTAATGCATCATTGTAAATCAACTACACTTCAACAAAATAAATATGGACATTGACTTTCGTTACAGGGTTGAATAGAAGAGGAGGGAGAGCTCTGGCTAAGCTCCGAGGCGGCTGTGGAACAAGGAGGGTAAAGCATTTCTGTGCTCACTCTTCCATCCCCAGAGGACCCTTCTGTGAACAACAGGAGCTACTCAAGCTGGAGAAACTCTCACCAGATCAGAGTGATTTCAGCTCAGCTCAAACTGGCTTGCCCTGCTCTGGAGAGAATCTGGTGTTCCCCTGGGGTGGTGTTCCTACAGATTCCCTTGGGGAGATTTTTCTTGGTTATCACTCAAGACTGTTGCCTCGCATTTGATGAGCGGGATCCAAGGATCTGTTGGGTGGATCCCACTAGGTTACAGATTCACCTTGGTGACTTTTTTAGCTGGAGAGGACTGGCACCCAGGCATTTCCTACCAAGGGCTGAGCCCTGAAGATACCTATTAGACACTTCTTTGCACACAAGTTGCCTAGAACTGGGTCTAAGAACAGGCCAATGGCTTGTCCTTTCTCCCTTGATAGCTTCTTTCCCCATCAACCCACAAGTTCCCAATTTGTCAACATTCCCTCGGAAAGAGCTGAGAAAGACAGAGAGGAAGATACACTTGGAAAGAAGATTGGTTTGTACTTTATTTACAACAGAATGTAAGAAAAAGTAAGTTATTATCAATAATAAATAACTGGGAAAAAAACACAAAACGGCTGCAAAATGACATAGGAGGATGGCTTCCTCACACAGTTAAGATGTGTGAAGATCAACTTCTGTTTGCTTTGCTGTCATCACACTGTGCATTCCAGAACTTGGTCCTTCAGCTGTGGCAGTGGTGTATCGACCATTTAACTAGTCAAGATCCCAGTTTGCAATGTAAACACTAAAACTGACAATTGAAGCTACATGTAAGTGGCACAGGTATAACATCAGCTCAAACAGACTCTCTTGGAGACACCCAGAAACTGAGGGGAGATTTGCAATTCAACAGACAGGCTTTTGATTTTAAGCAAAAACATTGAGAGAGGCTTATCCTAGAGTCTGTTAACAACAAAATGATAACAACAGCATCTGGAAAGGTCTCAACATATTCACATTCTCTTATTGCACTAACTCCTAAAAAGCTTAAAACTTACATTTCAAATGAAACAGACTGCTTTGAAGGTAGAACACAGAAGAACCCAGTATGCGTTGCCTCCATATGCCATTGCTGCGCTCTTCTGAAACGCTCTTCGTTTTAGGCAGGAAACAATAGTTTTCCTTCTTTCTTTTTTTTTTTTTTTAAAGGAAACAATAGTTTTAAACAGTCTATTTATAATCAATTGCAGTTTCTGGACAGATTTTTTTTTTTTTAGTTTTAAGAATTATGGCTCAGATGGCATATTGTCACCCAGCCTACTGAACCAGATGATCAGAAAGAGACTAAAACTATTTAAACAATCCTTCTGTGTTGGAGTATCTGAATACGCATCACATATGGAATAAAATTACACTCTGGCCCTTCTGAAACGTACAATTGTTGTTGACCTATGCCAGTCAGTGACAAATAGTCTTTGAGCCATGAAGAGGAGCTAAGGCGAGTAGGATTTAAAAGTACACATAAATTCATTAGCCATGAAATTTTCATGGAAAAATGATTTCTCGAGAAGTGTCGGAATCTACTCTCTTAGGTCACTGTTTATTATAGTGTCTTGGAAGAAAACCATATAATAACATTTGGGAGTCTCGTTGTTTTTTAAGTGTCTACATAAGACACGCACAATTGCACTAGTTAGAGATTTATTTTCACAATCAAAAACGTGGCTAATAAATGCCTTCAAATAAATTAAAGCCGTTTTCCCCACACACAAATGCAAAACCAAAACAGAAGGGTTTATAAATTAGTTCACAAATGAATTCATATTGTTTCAGTTACAATGTGGTAACTGAAGAATGTCACGGACTCCTGTGTTGTTACGCTTTTTTCTTTGCTTTGCCTTATTCTAGCTCAAAAGTAGGAAAATGAAAGGTCTTCAGAGCTGACTTCTGACAAAGTTTATGCAGTAAAAACACTGAGGCCTTCTTGTCCTGGAAAAGCACAGCCAAAGCAATGATCTGTTAGACAGCCAATGAAAAGCACAGGGGGCATTTTGTAATTTGAAGTCCATCCAAAGTAATGAAATTTATGTTCATTTTGATGGTCTCTACTACATGAGAGACAAAGATGGGGTGAGCATAAATGTTATCTGTGGATTATTTCAATTTGGCTACCAGAGACTTAAAACTGATGGTGCTGGATTTGCCATACTATATTTATATATATACAGGTATAATACAATTTTGGTGAACAAAGTTGAAGGTTTCCACATGGCAGACAGAGGCACTGAGTTAAAATTCTATTTTTTTCCCCAAAACATGCTTAATGAATTCAAGTTTCTGGTTTTTTTCTTCTAAGTTTCCATCATGCAGCCATTTAATTTCCATCCTTATAGGAATTAGTAATGTTCTATATACACATTCATTGCAGGCTTGTACCCCACAAAAAACAAATCCATGTATGAAGACTGTGAAATGACGCTTGAAAATCAAGATAGATAAAATACTGAAGCCATTTATGCCTTGTGATGACTGGATTAAATATTTGAAGCAGCTAAAAGAATATTTGCACCCCTCCCCCCTTTGAAAATGCACACGAACCACATGTAGACAGAAAAACTGAACATACTCTAAGACCACACATATTTGTTGGCTAAGAATCACACTATCAGTGGTAGTTTTGCAAGTAATGTCTGTGGTATTGTACTGGCTTTAAGAGAAAGAAAATTCACAGTAGGAAACCAGGAATTAGCTTTCTAAAGCATATAGAATTGTTGACCTTGATAGAGGAAGCTACTTTACAAAAATGGAAAATGAGCAATGGCATCAACAGAAAAACTAGGTGCCAGATGTGTTAACCACGGGCTCAAAACAAATCCATTCCATGCGAATATCATGATCCCACCCCATCTTGATTTCAGCTTGCAAATGTTAAGCAAATACATACACTATGCAAGTGTCTTCTGAAGGAGAATTTTGCTTCCTAAAGCCAGACATTCTTGTTAAGTACTACTGTGCTGAAAGGGAGCCATTGAGAAGTCCAAGAGATCTGGATAAAAGATCGAGTTTTCCCACAAGCAAAAATCATGCTACCATACCATGCAAAGAAGGCGTCTTACTGTGGTACTATCACTCTTAGGGAAGAGATGCACTGTTGATCTAAGCTATTTGCAATGGGTTTCCTTTGAGTTCTGGGTTTATTTATATATTAAGCTAAATGTCAACCTATAGGTTAAGAAATGATCTTGACAACCTGACATATGACTTAGAACACTTGGTGCTGGGCCCTGGGGCCAGCACTTGCACCTTGGGAGAGTCTGTCCACTTGAAGGACACTGTGCAGAGTGCTGGGCACGAGAGAGAGAAGCAGGCAGGGTCCACTGGCTGAGAGCCTGTCTAAGAGGAAGAGGACACGCTCCTTGGTTTCCTTGGGAATCTGCGTTTGGGGAAGGTCCCTTTCCTGAGGTTGGAGGTTATGGTCAGGAAGGCCAGCTGGGGCCTCGGAGTCGCCCAATTACCTTGTTCTCTTCCTCCCTTGGAGGACAAATGCTAGATTCTGCTCTTCTTTCTGTGTTTAAAGGCAGTGAGGTGCAAAGGTGGCAGATTTTTCTCTTTAGATCAAAAGAGAGTTCTCTTTCTGCCACTGTGGTGAATGATCTTGTCTCCTGTCAACCTTGAGTCTAATCCTGCATTACTAAGACCCTCAGAAAAGAAAGTTGGACAGAGGGGCATCTTTTATAACTTCTTTTTACTCTATAAAGAAGAATCAGCCATTCTGCTCACTTTCTCCTCCCACTTGATGGCACTGACTCAACTTTTGCCATATTCCTGATATTTGGATTTCAAGTAAGGAACAAGAGAACGGCAATTTTTTCCTACGGTCCAGTGATGGGCAATGTATTCCAGGGAGGTCCAGATATTATTAAGAGTATCCCCGTCCCATTAAGGGGATGGAAACAAGTCCGACAGTGTTAAAGTCCAGGCAGGTTACTCTACCCTGAATTTCTCTGAATGAGCATAAGAGTCAATGAATTCTACTCAATTAACTGCAAATTCTGAGAATCTTAACAAATGATGTAAGGCTCGTTGATACCTGTAGGGAAAAAAAAAGACATTTGCCTCACCTGGGTCTGTTGGTTCCTAAACCAAACCATTCAAAATCAGTCTGTTATGGTCACATTTATCCATGTAATTCTTAAAGATTTCTGAGGCCACAAGGGCACAAAGGGGAAGTTATTAAAAGACAGAAACAAGTGGCATTTTTATCAAATTCTGTGAAAGGTATAAATAAGTTATTGTTAATTGCACTTGGAGCCCTACAGGTTGATAATTAAAATTTTGAAAATATTTAATGAGTTAATTAGGCTCCAAATCCTGAGTCAGACTAACCAAAGTAGGAATCTTAGTAACTCCTGGTATTCAAGTATTGGTAAGGAGCAGTTCAAAATTTAACAATTAGGTGTCTTATGCCTGAGAAATTTTTTGAGAATTTCACGTTTGATGGGAGGAAACTAACTTCATTATTTTACTATACCTTGTAACAGAGTGGTGTAAAGTTTTCATTTATTTACCCTTGAAGTCCATGCCAACCTCATCAAATGCCCAATAAACAAGGCTTCCTCCCTGGCGACCAGCTGCGGCCACAGAAGATCTCTTCTGTCCTTCGCAAGTCTTGCATTTTACATCTACTGTGACACTGTGTGGCAGACTTAGGGAGTCATATTCTATGTGAAATTACTTAACCACATGCACACTCAAGAGATCAAAGGGACATGTCTGAGTGACAGAGCAGTCTTTTTCTGTATCAGAAGATCCTTAAAAACAAACAAACAAGACCCAAAACTGAAAATATAAAACCCCATAAAATATTCATATGAAGTTACTCTGATTTGGGCCGACATGGCTTATCTGAAGAGTGGATGCCAGGTAAATTCAGGGTGGCTTTTTTCTCAGGGTCTGGAAGTGTGAGAGTTTCTGGGGCCGACTTTTTCCGGGGCCGATCTTTGGGAACTGACAGGAATTCTGGTGCATCAGTGGAGAGAGGCGTGGATGGAGCGCTCGAAGGGGCACTGCGGACTGAAGAAGGCAGCAGGGGGATGCTGGAGATAGAAACGGCAGGTGGGAAAACGCCAATTTTCTTGTTGGTGGCTTCCTGAGTGGCTCGTTCAAACTCTCGGACTTCATCCATTGTCATGTCTTAAAGGTAAAAAATAGAAAAAAAAATGAGCAAGTGTTGGAAGAGACACAAATGGATTCATCTCTCTGCCTGTTTAAAGGAGCTATCAGAATCCTATGATTAAGGGGTCTCTCCAGATTATTAGCCCAGATTGTCTTTGAAATGCTAAACCCTGAATTTTTTCTTTTTACTGAGGCTGACCTCTGAAAAAATATTTCTTTATGAATATCCATCCAAGATTTTCCAAAGCACTTTCAATGAGTACTTTAAGTATTCTTAAGAAGAGTTTATCAGGAGAGCACAGAACCACACCAAGTTGTACGTGTCTGTACATCCGTGTGCTGTGGATATGGTGTGGTATATGGAGCTAATATTAGACCATGCCATCCTTTCTACAAAAGGAAGGTAATTAAAGCAATCAGTGGCCCCAAATGATACATATTAACAACTATTTTAGATCATGCAAAGACAAGTTTACCTTTACAGGGTAAACAGGCAGATTATCAGAATTTCTCAACATGGTATCCTCTTGTTCAATAAATATACTTTTTGCATTCTAGGAGTTACTTGTTTCCTAACTATGTATCCATCCTGAGATCTTTTTCAGAGGAAAAAACAAGTAAGATGTGACAGCAACAAGGAACTTTGCTAATTATCCCCAAACCAAGGAAACAAAACAATTTCTCAAGGAAACATAAAAAGAGCAGAGAAGAAAAAGAGAGGATCACAAAATCAGTGAGAATTTCATTTAAAAGAAAAAAAGAACATTATTTGGCATCCAAGAAATAAATTCAGTGACGCCTTATTTAATGGGCATTGTCAGATACAGACTTGCCAAATGTCTGAAATGTTCTTATGTGAGAGAGTTAAAAAAAAATTCTTTTAAAGGCAAAGCCTTCCCTAATGTAAATACATTAATGTATTACACACGCTTACACACTTACTACCAATTAGACATAATATATGGAAAGAATATCACTGTGCTACAATACAGTGGTGACTCACTTCTTAGGACTGATTTGCTTTATATAGTGTGGCATTTCTTCTCTCATTCTCAGGAACTCTATTATTACTCTCAGTCTGGCTATCCCTGGTATCCTTTGCCAATTTTGTTACTAGTAACTGGGAAAATAGGTAACTGGTCTTATTAAAAAAGCTCTGAGTGAAGGCCGACAAGCTTGTCCTGGTGTAAAAGGTGAAACCTGCTGACCATGGGCTTCTGTACCTGTTTTATCTTCCCAGAGACCTGTGTTTTCACTTGTGTCCTTTCCCATGAACTTAGTTGGTGAGCCTTCATTGGATGACACTACATAAACCAGTATGAAACATACAGACACTTTGGAAATATTAACTATGGAGTGAATATTCATAACACAGTATTAGTCATTAAGATATATGATCTATAGTCATATCATAGCATACAAGCGAACCAGAAATATGTAAAAAAAAAAATCCTCAAGAGTATTTCCTGGGAAAAATTATTAAGATTTTCTGGAAGGTAAAAGTTTTTACAAAGGAAATAAAAAGTTATGCCTATGTTGATAGAATATAAAATTCAGAATATAGCAAGAACTGTACCTGTAAACTTACCACTTAGAACACTAAGGCTAAGACACTTAGACAAGCTAAGAAATAAGATTAAGTTCTTTAAAGAGGTATTTCAAAATAAAATTGAGACTCAGAAAAGCTTCAGTGAATTTCAGCGAAGTTTATCTTTGAAAAATCAGGTTTTCTTTACAAGTGGCTGAATGGTGCGCTACTCCATACATCCAGCAGGGGGCAGAAATCACCCAAAGTACAGAATTTTGATTCTACACTCCTATTCAGTCTCTAAGAAGTTCTCTTCCTTGAAACGTGTTGAAACTGCTCAGTTGAAAAGGAGACTGTTATTTCCTTATTGCTGGGGCCATGGGTGTTCATTTTGCCCAGTTTCAATATAGTTTGTCTCTGCTCAGGAAATAGATCTAAATTTATTGAGCACCCATGTAGTTTCTGTGATGGACAGCAGCCTCTTGATTTCAACTTTTTCATTGTGATAGAGAAGAAAAATATGGAAAAATCAATGACCCTTCCCAACTTGATGGAATTTCAAAGAATAAGGCAAGTGTGGTATGCATTTAAAGATAACCACATTGTTTAACTTCTGAGGAGATGGGCATTTCTGACACCGAAGTTATGGGAAGGGCTCTGAGTTGCAGTCAGAGAATGCACAGGCTTTCCCATGGGGAGACCCATTCCAGGTGTCACCGTCTGAACGGTAAACTGACTTTCCAACAGTAATAATCAGAGTAAAATGGAAAGAAAACCAAACCCAGAGCCTTAAGCTGTAAGAACTTAGACTGAGGAAAGCGCTGTGTAGTATCCTTCGCTAGTGGCATCTCCCCCCTCCCTCTGGTTTCCTTTGTCTTGTCATGCTTACATAGGGAGCGGCTTTCAGACGGCGGCTGAGAGGGGACAGGTATCAACATTCCTAAAGGAAAGGTAACTGAGAGTGATGGCAATTTAAGGACGGTTTCCTTACGAGCACTTCTAACTTTAGAACGGGGAGAGAGAAAGGGGGAAGCCCTATAGGAACTGGCCAGCGCCTCCAGAGGAACACTTCAGTTAAGTCTGATCCAAACAGCTGCTGCAAGTCCAACCACTGCATGCAAGAAGAGTTACGGCCATTTCAACCTCAACGGCTGCCACATGCATCCAACAGCAGCACATAATGCCTGACGGGGCACATTCCCAAGACATGCTCTCAGAAGTTCACTTGACATTTCCAAGGTGCAACCAGAGGTCTTCACAAATCTAAAGCATTCACAACAAGAGCCATCTCTCAATTTTCTAAAACTACACTGTAATTTCTTACATAGCTAATATGCATTATTCTGGGTCTGACAGACATGCGGGCTCAAGCTGGCACCCGAAGAGACCACAGCTCTGGCCAAAGATACATGAAAATGACTTGGTGATTACATTTTCTTTGTTATCTGTGATTCTTCCTCATAAGCACGGATGACTGATGGAACTATATTTAAGATGCTGGCATGTAGACAACACACTGTCAGCTCTCAGTCACCAACGTGCCATTAAATAACCTTAGGCTCTCCGAGGCTTAAGTCCCAGCCTGACCTAGCTCACCCCACCTTCACTGCTCAGCCAGTGTGTATGCATGGACAGCAGCCCCGTCTGGACAGGAACCTAAGTAAAAAGGAACCAAAGGTAAGACAGCCATAAAGAGCCATGGAAAGCATTTCAGAGCAAATGCAAAGAAACGGAAAATACCAGATAAGCCAATAGCCTTCCCTGAAACGAATGACTGAACGTTAACTATGTCTTTAAAAGTTACTGGCGCTGATGATCTAGCTTTTGTGTGACATCCGTTTCTACCCCTCTGTTCTTTTGTGGTGCAGGCCACAAAATGTTTCCATTCTCTATGCTCTTGGTTTTATGACCAAGACAATGTAACCTCTGAGTCAAGTGGCTTTAAAAAATAGAAATGTCTGGAAGCAAGAGGTAACAACGTCCAGTTAAGACCCAGCTCAGGTTCTTCGCCGACAGCCTCTGGGCTACGACGCTTTTTTGTGGAAGTTTGAGAATTGATGCGTTTGAAGTCATTTCAAAGATCGGTTTATGGGTACGTTTGGTAAAGAGTGGGCAACATGTTTTAAAAATTCTACATACACTTGTTTGGGCCTGGCTCTCTATGTCATCCACAGTGGAGGAATGCTGATTGCAAACTTTTATGTTGGTTTGTTCATGCATGTTTTTCTCGTATTCCCGAACATCATCCATTGTCATATCTGAAAGAAGGTCAAGACGTTGGCAACTTCCGTTATTAAAGGCGAACTTTCAATGGGGGAAACTTTAGGGGATGATGGCAGCTTAGCAGAAGCCAAAGAGAGGAGTAAAAAAGCGGGGAACTCACTAACTTTATGAAGGGTTAATCATAAAGTTAGCTAAACCAGCCAAAGGCGGAGTGAATACAAGGGAGTTAAGTCAAAACAGTCTTAGAGCTGAGAAGAATGGAGATTATTTAGGGGTGATTCTTGTACAGTGAGTTAGGTGGGCAGGAAGTATTAGCTTGTGGACAGGGCTGTAGCCTGAGATCTCCTAAAAGCATGGTTAGAAGATCCCTGTAAGGGACAGGGTCAGGTTTGTGTGGTTTAATACTTACCTTTCAAAATAGATTTGGAAGTTCTTTACAGCAATGCATTCAACAACAGAAAGGACACTTTCATTGCTATTGTAAGAGACATGACATTGAGGGCAGAGAAATGATGTCCACTGCTCCTGGTGAGATTTGGGTGCAATGCTCACACAGATGTATTTTTGCACAGAATACATGGCGTCAGAGAGTGCAGGTCTACACAGAACTTCAAGTCTAACCTAACAGCATGAAGAGGGCTGGCACTACTTCCACCCACACAGTTTTAGAAATAAAATGGCACAAGACATTATGATTTTTTTGGCCTGATTCTGCAGATTTTTCAGGATTTCAGAATAATAATTTCTGAAATCCTGTGGTTCTAAACAGGGGACAGTTCTGTGACACTTTTGGTTGCCACGACAGAGGTGGAGGTGCTACTGGCACATGGCCAGGAGGTGCCAGGGATGTGGTAACACATTCCACAGCGCACAGTCCTCCTCCCTCCCCGACAAAGAATTATCTGGCCCAAAATGTCCGTGGTGCCGAGGTTGATCCAAGAGATAAAAAACTTCAACAAAGACCCTGCTATCTTTGGTATGTGCAATGCATAAAAATAATAATTAGTCTCAATTTAAATGTTTCCGTTGCTTTATCCTGCACTCCCCACTCCACTCCTTGGATATTTTACAACAATTCATTAGCAGTTTCCCCAGATGGGGATTCCTCTGCCACTCTCCTGGCAGAATTTAACTTCATGCCTCTTTACAATGAATGGTTCATGCTCAACAAATGGTTAATCAAGCTACCACCTTGATCACTAATTAGCTTGGTGGGGATTTAGAGCAAGTATTTACAGTTGGAATTTTTCCGTTAGTATTTTCTGCATCATGTGGTCTGGTGTCTTTTTATATCAGTCCTTGTGTGTCACGTGAGAGTCTCTTCAATTCCAAAGGGCAGACTTGTGAGAAGTTTATGAATTAATTCAGTGTGGTCTGGGGCCAAGATGGAGGGCAGCTCTAAATCCAGACCTGGGCGATATTATTTAGCTGGTGACACCCCCACACCCTGAAACTGTTAATCAAAAATGCCATCCATAAGCAATGTAGGTATCAAGAATGCTAAGCAACAGTCTGGCCAAGCGAAGAGCATGCTTTTCTTTTAGAAAATCAAGGTAACTGCAAAGCAGTAAAGAGATGCTGCTTTGTGAATAGAACAAATGCATCTTTGTTAACAATAATAACATTCTTTCAATACAACCACTTTAATTTCAATGGCCAGTTATCAAAAGTTCTTATATACAAACATACCTGGAATGAATACTGAGGTAATTTAAAGTTAAAAGTTTAAAATTAAAGAAATTTCTTTATACATATATTCATTAGACACTTTATTTCCCCCCTCACTGGCATGCTAGTAATTTTAAAAACAAAAACAAAGGAGGCTTCATTTCTTTGTTCTAGTGAATCTCAATGGAAATCATTCTTTATCTTTAATTAGCTCAAAGTTAACAGAGGGGCTTAAACTGTGTGACTAGGGGCTTTCAAAGATTTTTATGGATGTGAAGAAAGATTTAATAATGAAGATACTCATTATTAGCTTGTTCATAATAGTGAAAAACTGAAAACAACTCTGAGGCCTGATAGCATTATGCAGGAATTAAAAATGATGCATAAGAATATTGAACACTATAAAGAAATGACTTTGGTATATTGTTAAATAAAAAATTGGAGGTAAAATAAATCATTTTTGCCAGAAAAAATGAAAGAGTACACTTCTAAATGTTAACAGTGATTGTTTTGAGGAGTTGAAATTTTAATGTTCTCCTTTTGCTTATCTATATTTTCTAAATTTTCTACATCAAATCTGAATTACTTCTGTAAGAAAGAAAGAGAATGTTATTTCAAAATCAATTATTTGGAGTCATTAGAAGATGGATACCATCAATTTGCACTTGTATAAGAAGATACATTTTAGAAAAGAGTATTTTGCCAATTCTAGAATCATGATTCCCCCCTTATTTATTTATTTTATTTTTATTTTTTTGATCCCCCCCTTTTAAAATGAAGAGTTAAGAAACAGTTGTGGAAAACTTCATCTTAAAGAAAAAAAATCTCTCAATTAGACCACATAATAATGAACATTTCTAGGGAGTTTCCTGGTGATCTAGTGGTTAGGATTCAGTGTTTTCACTGAACAGACAAAAAAAAAGAAAAAAGAATGAAACTTCTAGTACAGGGGGGGGTTCTCTAAAAGATAATGATAATCTGGTCCCAGCCAATGCTGAAGGAAAATATGTTTGCCTAAATCGTGAACTATCCTCTCATACTATACATGCTTATGGAAATGATGTCAATATTCCTCAGTAATTTATGGAAAGCCTAATCAAGTGAAAATGTTCTTATTCAGGTTATCTGATAGAATGCATTACATCTTGCTTCGGCAAAGTGTATTACCTCGAAATCTATAAATGAGTCAATTTTTTAGTAAATTCAATTACATATGCCTGATGATGGATTATACTTTTGGAGCTGATTCATCTTCATTACTAATTGATTTTCAATGATCAGAGTCACTTCTCACAATTTAGGTTCAGATCTCTTTGTCCCCAGGAAAAAAGTGCTTATGTATATCAGATAAACTCTTAAAGGAATCTTATGTCAATTATTTTGCAAATAACTGAATTTAATTATCCCTTAATTTACAGATCTGAAAGGTCATAATTTACTTTTTTCAAGTAGAGTTTCTTAAATGAAGTCTTCTTAAACAAATAACACTGGCCTAATGGCCTGATTTAAGAGACTACTGGAACTAGTACCAAAATTATTCTGGTAAGGAAGCTAAATCCTAGTATCTTTGACACTTGGCCATTAGAGGGTGAATGATCATCTGGCGGCATAAATATTCTCTTTGTCGCAAGATTTCCTGTCTTTGTCCTCTTGCAAGACCATTTTTGTCCTTCTTTTTCTCACCCTCTTTCAGGTGAGAGAGTAAGCAGACCCTGGTCTTCTATTCCAGCATGTAAAGGTCACACTAAATTGGCCTGGGTAGAACCCTCTCCTCTACCACCTGCCCAGCTTTATTAAAGAAGCTCCGGACTCAGAGGATTTGGTAAGAAGCTCCTTCAATTTTTTAAACCGTGAACTAATAAGCAAAATATACCTCTGTATGAATCTTGGTCTGCTTCAACTGTTTTCTGCTTTGTTATAATATGTGGATTTCAATTATCATTTACTTATTGAATCACTCAACTAATGTGTGAATTATGTTCCACAGAAATAATTCAAATAGTACTGGATTATATAGAGAAAAGAGTTTGATTCCTTTTAACTTCCTGTATCAATCCCATTCCTTCTGGAGATACTACTGACAGATTTTTTTCTATGAATTTGCATGTATGCCAGTATTACACACACACATACAGTCTCATTTATTTTCACATTTACGGAATCATACTATAGTATACTATATGATACCAGTTGCTCTGGCTTACTTTTTCCACTAATGGAAAATGAACACAGAACTACTTTATTCTTTTTATATTTTGTCCTACCTCCCTTCGAAGACAATGGACTGCTTTTCTGGGCGCCTGATGTCCTCTGCTAGCGATCAGAAGTTCTTTTGTGAAATTTGCTCAGCATTCAAATGTTCTTTTGATGAATTTGTAGGAGAGAAAGTGGTCTCTCCGTCCTATTCCTCTGCCATCTTGGCTCCTCCCCGTACTTTATTCTTTTTAACACACAATATTTATCATATAAGCAGTATCATAATTTACTTGACCATATTTCTGTTGAAGGACATTTATATGGAGACTAGATTTTAGCTCTTATAAGCAACACTACACTGAATAGCTTTGTATTTATATTCAGGAACATGTATGTGTATTCCTTAAGAATGAGCATCTAAAAAAAAAAAAAGAATGAGTATCTAGAGGTGGGATTACTGGCCATAGATAATTTGTATTTACTATCATCAGTTTTTATAGAAACTGTTAGTATGTTCTCCCACCTATCCAAAACTGGATTATCACTCATTTTAAATTTTGCTATCAGATGGGCAAATGTCATATCTTCTTGCCATTTTCATTTCATTACACTTCTTGTGATTAGTAGAGAGGCTCTTGGTTATTTGCATTTCTTCTTCCATGGTTTACCTATTTAGGTTGTTTCCCTTTTTTCTATTAGCGTTGGGTTTTTGATTTATAGGACCTCTTTATATATTGTGGATATTAATCCTCTGTTGGATACATATATTGCAAATAGCTTCTCTCAAACTTTCAGCTTTGTTTATGGTGGGAATTTTCTTTCAATCATTTTATTAGAGATTTCACTGGAAGTGGAGGCAAGATTGTATATCTGAAAGGCCTTTAAGGCAGAAGTCAGCTGAATGTACAGAGACACTACAAATGCCACCAAACAAAGTGTCTGCAGTCAGGAATATTCCTGCATTACAGTTTTAATAAAGACTCATATAGCTTAATTCAATGACCTATTCAATGGCACATTATATTTTATTTCCTTCTACAAATATTTTCTCTCCATTTCCAGGCCTGTCAGCCTAAACAGAAGTAACTTTTTATTTGTTGTTGTTCCAAGTCAAAATGGAAGTCTTAAACAGTGGCTGGGTCAGAGGTCAGAGGAAGCTCCAGCAATCAAGAATTAGGTCAGATACCCCTTTGACTTCAACAAAATGGTGGCCCATCCTTTGGGAAGTGCTTTAAAAAAAAAAGGCTATAAATTCAACAGGTGCTTATTACAAATAGTTTATTATTATTATTTTTTTTTGGTAGTGACAGTAGCTAATCCTCAAGGCTTGGTGTATACTCTTTCCTTGTAATTCAGATCACAAGATGTAGAATTGTAATCTACAGTTATGATTTTTTTCTACAGTTCTTAATTTGGGGAGGTGAAGAGCAGAGGCATAGATTCCTTTGAAAATGTGATGGAGTGCAATGGATTCTTTCCAGAAAAATGAATGTAAACAGACATACATAAAATGCTGTATAAGAGACATGGAACTTAAATTCATGATTCAGGAAACCTGTGGCCATTGGAAAATGCTGGCTTGGTGAAATCAACCAGCTAATGCTAGCCTCTGAGTCAGCTTCTTTCTCCAACTTCAGCTTGATTGTTTCATTGTTAGACTGCTCTTGGGACTCCAGAATGATCTCTAAGTCAGTTTTGTGAGGAAGTTTCATCTATACTAGCCAGAACAACCCCCTATTTTTTGGAAGGGTCAGGATTCATGAAATTCCACTCAGTTACAGCCTCCCTTGGGCAACCCTCTGTGTTCCTCTCAAAATACTGTCAGATTTGTGAAGCAAAACCACGCTTTGGTGAAGCTGGGCTGCCTATTTTTATTCACCTCTTCTTTTACCCCATCTTCTGAAATATGCAGTTGTTTTTTCTGATTAGTGTTCCAGTCATGCAGGAGACACCCAAGGCTCATGGATAAAGACCAATCAAGGCTTTCAAAACCAAACTCAACTACTCCCAACAGTAGAAACGGTTGTAGTTTAGAACAAACAAGAGCAGAATAAAATCTGTTTAGGGAAATAGTTACTGTGACAGTCAAATACTAAAATTCAGGAAGGATACAAAATTAATCCTTGGGCAAGAAATGATTACTGTCATCTGTAGTGTCCTTTTTAAAAAAACAAAACAAAATGCAACTCAGTTAAGCACTGGAGGTGGTGAATCTAATTAGGGAGAAAGGCATCACACAGGGCTGCCAGTGTAGACAGGTATACAGTTTGGGCACTGTAGGAGCATGGCCCAGGGTCAATGGAGCTAAAATTCAGCGATCAGCCAACAGCACCTGCTGAATCTGCTTGGAAGAGGCGCCTTTTCGTAATGCTTACAAGGCACCAGCGTTCAGCAGTTGGCCCTGAAGACATCTACCATTTTCTAGTCTAATTAAATTTGGACTGAATTAATTAAACTGTCCTTTCAATCTAATCTGATTTAAAGCTGTTCTTAAAACTTTTGGGACTTCCCTGGTGGTCCAGTGGTTAAGACTCTGCGTTTCCAATGCAGGGGACTCGGGCTCGATGCCTGATTGGAGAACTAAGATCCCACATGTCCTGCATTGTGGCCAAAAAATGAAAACAAAAACCAAAAACTGAAAAACAAAAAAACCTTTAGGATTCACCTGGAGGGATTGTTAAAACACAAGGGAGTGTGCTAGGCTACACCCCCGGGGTATCTGATTCATCAGGCTTGGGGTGGAGTATGAGAATCTGAAACAAGTACTCCAGGGATGCTGCGGTTGCAGGCCCAGGACCTCACTGGGAGAATAAGTGCCATAAGCTATAGGAAAGGGTTTCTCTACTTTGAACCCGTTCCAGGTTTACTAGTGATAAAGCCTCACTGAGCTTGTATAGACCAAAGGAAAATAAGCAAATTCAGGTACCCAAAACTGAAGGGCTGTTCCGGTGGGCGATGACACACCCATTTACCTGAAAGGCCTGCTGCTGCTGCTGCTAGGTCACTTCAGCCGTGTCCGACTCTGTGCGACCCCATCGACCGCAGCCCTCCAGGCAAGAACACTGGAGTGTGTTGCCATTTCCTTCTCCAATGCATGAAAGTGAAATCGCTCAGTCGTGTCCGACTCGCGACCTCATGGACTGCAGCCCACCAGGCTCCTCTGTCCATGGGATTTTCCAGCCAAGAGTACTGGAGTGGGGTGCCACTGCCTTCTCCGGAAGGCCTGCAGTACACAGCATTACCTTGAATAAGGGGCTGTGGGCAGGGTTCTTAGCATTTAGTTGATTGAGTAACTGCATCTGTGTAATGAAGGAGCTACCACTTTCCTGGCAAGCCGCTCAGCTGGGGACAAGGATGCCAGTAATTTACATGAAATTGATGGGGTGGGTCTCAGACCCTTTGCTGAGTGAAAAGGCTGCTTGTTTTGGTTGGGGCTAGGACTGTATATATAGCGGGTGGAGGCCTTCTCTGGGGGAGTACATGGTGCCCTGACGATCTACATCCACTAAACCACATGCTGTTTTTCTGCACTCAGATACAGAGAGGGCTTTTTGTCAGTAGGCTCCTTGAGTTAATTCCTGTCTCCACCTCTCCAACTTAAGTAGGTCTTTTTAAAGGCCTTCCTTTGATGCGTCATTTTAGCTTTGGGCCCTTGTATAGTCTGAGATTTTTATTTATTTATTTATTTTCTTTTTTGGACTAAAAGTCTTTAAGTCTCTCAGTTGCTGAGGGCCTGGTTGAAATGGAAAAAAAATCAGCCCTTGGCTTGTAGTGTTTTGTCTTTCTTAGTTAGTGTGCAGCTACCCTTTTTGATGCTGCCTTTTCTGAAAAGTCCTTGAAGGCCTCATGGTATTCCAGAGAAATCTATTACATTGCCCTGTCTCTTGGTCTTCAAGATGGTCGAGTTTTGGCTCTTCAGGTTTCAGTTCACTGACCAAACTTCTCACCAGTTTGAGCTTATTATTCTTTGCATATCTTTTTGAAATTCCTTTAGGATGCCAAGAGCATGGACGAGTGCAAGCTGGGGGAGACCAGCAGTTGTTAACCTTTAGGTTGTCTGTGATCCCTCTAAGAATCTGTGAAAAGCTCCCCAGACAAAACAACCAGAAAGATCTGTTTAATGATCTGGGGAAGTAATTACAGGAGACTCTCCCTCCCCCCATCTCACAACAGACAACCACAAAGAAGTGTTGGGGAGACTTGTGACAGTGTGGCCAGTCAGCGTAGTGCTGCCTCTGAGCAGCATCCTGGGTCCTGGGGGTGTGTGATTATTGCTGTTGTTTGGCTGCTGAGTCGTGTCCAACTCTTTGTGACCCTGTGGACTGTAGCCCGCCAGGCTCCTCTGTCCATAGGATTTCTAAGAAAGAATACTGTTGGGGGTTGCCATTTCCTTCTCCAGGGGATCTTTCTGAGCCAGGAATTGAACCCAAGTCTCCTGCATTGGCAAGCGGATTCTTTACCACTCAGTCACTAGGGAAGCCCAGAGTGTGATTAAGAGAGAGCAAATGGTGATCTTTCAAAAGCATCTCTTCTAGAGGTCTGCATTTGAGCAAACCAAGGAAGAGGCAAAGATATATCTGCTTTTCAGAAGATATGGATCTGGGAAAACTGTGCAAAAAAAGGAAAAAAAAAAAAAAAAAAAAAGCACATCCATAGCCTATAAAACCCTATTTTTAAAAATATGGTTCAGAAACAGCTAATAGTCACTGTCTTTGTCCGTTCAGTCCACTGTAATTTTTCACTTTAAATTTGATGCCTTCAGCCAAGAAGAGAGAGGGCATTGGTGAAACAATGATACAAAGGCACCAAAATGCAATCGAGGTTATGCTGAGAACAAATTCAACGTGACTTAGGAAAAGGCCAAAGAGAAGAGCATTTTCATTAGGCAATCAGATATGACCCAAGTCACCAACTGGGTGTGTTTGTTTCTTTTTATAGTCAAGGACTCTAGCCTCTGATGACTGATTCTGGGAATGTAGGGGATTCACGTGGACAAAATGATAGCGCTGCAGATATGGGAAGTGTGGTTCATTCATCACGGGATGAAACAAACCTTGTTTCTTTTCACTTACTGGAAATATACAGAACAGGTTTAATTCTTCTCAAATCATTTTTTAAAAAGCCGGAACAATAGTCTCAGTTAGAATTAAGGGGGCACCAGTTCCTTTGCCCTTGAATCCTGGCAAAAGTCCTTATGTTTTTGGTGAGGGAGTGTTTCAAAGGACTCAAGTCCAAGGACTGCTTTCACCTGATATGACGCTTAACGACAAGATCAAGGCAGCACTGATCGTGAGGTCTGGGATAAACTGGAGGGGTTTGAAGCCAATCCAACAGAGGATTATAGAACCCTGCACTATCAAGCATGCAAACATCAAACATATTGAGGTCCTATTTAGTCAATAATTAAGTGCTGTGGTTATTTTAGACCAAGCTTCTATCATTACATTCTTCTTCATTATGTCCCATGGACAATGCTATTTTCAATACAGGAAGCAATAGCTCTGCCTTTGTTCTTGTCTTTCTAGGTAGCAGTTGAAGCCAGATGGACTGAAAGTTGAAGCCAATGTGTTATGAAGTTGTTCTATAACTGATTTTGGGGGAGTTGACTTACCATACCACTCATCAACCCAAGCAAAAGCCTGTCTATGTCCAATCAGAAGGATATCTCGAACCACCTAAAAAAGCAAAAGAAGGAGGTTGATAGAATACCAGGTTTAATTAAAACTATCTGGAAAAGGAATGGTTTCCAATTCTAGGAAATGTGACAGTTACAAATTTCTCCATCCCTCTGTCCATATGGGATGACAATTAGAGGCGGACATACTTACTCTCAGAACTTTTCCACGGTGTACACATATTTGCTGTAAATTAATCTCTTTATCTTATTTGAAAGTTGGGCTGGAAGCTGTTCAAAATAATGACAACGACTTGGCAGTCACACAACAGTGACTGGAACGAGTCTCCAGCGCTGATCACCCTCAGATTTTTCTCTTCATTTATCTTTACCTAAAACAGGTTCTACTTTCCATTTGCAGAAGGGTGCACCTCACAGGCTCCAGGGGGTCATAAATGTTGGAAATCAAGTGCATTTATTTGGATAGAAAATCACCTCCAAGAAAAAGCACTTAAAACTCTCTCTTCTCTAGTGAAACAGCCTAAATATGGGTAATTTTTTTTTTTAAATAATTGAAGGTGTGTGATTCAAGATAAGTAGATATCTTTCTAAGCTTGGCTTTCATGTATTAGAAGTCAGGGGAGGGAGCAGTTTAGTCAACTATTATGTTAACTATTATTGAAAGTCATAGAAATAAGAGACCTGAACCAGAGTAGAACATAATGGGAATGATGAACTTGATTGGAGATGAAGGGAATGAAATTATTTCTTATGGTGACACAGAATGGCAATAGAAGATTAAGAAAAATAATTGTAAAGAGTTTGTGTGTTATACCATTTATGTGTTTTTATTTCATGGTATCTTTTTTTCATCTTTTATCGATATAAATACGGCATGCCTTTTTACCTTTCTTAGGCACTCAGTGCTCTCCTTCCAACATTTCTTTCCTCCTGACAAACAAATCTAGCAATTGTCAAAACCTCTCGTAGAAGGTTCAAGCATGTTTCAAGAAGAGAAGGATTTTAATTCAGTGAATTTGCAGAAACAAGGGAAGCCTTCATAATGAAGTGTTCATTATTCCAGGTCTATGGATATCTAGTGAGGCTTTCATGATTTGGAAGGAGGAAACATGTAACGAAAATAAACAACATGAAGCCATGCACACTTGAGTGCTGAGTGTGTCAAATTCATGGAAATTATAAGAACAGCATCGAGGCATCAGTAAATACGCCCTATTGCATTAAGCACAACACAGCTGTCTGCTGGAAACAAGAATTCAATAATGTGCTAATGGCTCGCTTTCGAACATTTTTTTCCCGTTAACTGTGAATAGATTCTTCAAAAACAAAAGGTGTTCAGAGAAAGGCATCCCTGGCACTTGAAACCTACGCAAATAAGAGCCTCAGATTCTCATTAGTGGCTCGTGTGCCACAGCAGGTGTGTTTTGGGGGTGTTGATGACACTTCATTATATTTGGAAATGGGCAATGGGAATGCCTATTGCTAGAGTGTAATTCTTACAGGTATTTTAAAGAAATGGATTCTCAAAACTAGAAAAGAAATACAATGACCCCTGTGGCAATCTAAATATGTTTCATGAGAAGATGAGATAATGAAACACACTATGGTAGTGGCCCCAGTAAGAGGAGATCATTTGGGGTGTTGTTTTTTTTTTTTTTTAAAGGTGGGATGTTGTGTAAGTTAAGAATATACTGCCAGGGACAGACGCAGAGCTGAGGCTGGAAAATATTTACTCTGGGAGCCTAGACTGTCTTCCTGCTTAATAACTGGGACACAGCAGGAAAACAGCAGGTCCCAGAACTTGATTTCTATGCGTGCCACTTGGCTCTCACCCCTGGCTGGGCAGAAACGGATTCTAGAGCTCAGCAGATTAGTACATTTCTCTGTCTCAAATTTATTCCAGGCCCTGCTATTATCAGGAAAGCAAGTTCAATCTATTTCTTGGACCCAAATTCAAGATTTATACATTTTACTATCAATTGGCTCCCCAAGCTCAGTAGACAAATCCATCTAAGTAACAAACAGCTCAGTGCATTAAGGTTAAATTCCAGTGCCCCCAAAAGAATTTCAGAAAGCAATTCCTTATCAGTTTTTAAGTGGAAAAATAAACAGATATCCAGCCTATCTGGAATGTAGAGACAACTTGGATAGTACTTACTCTCATGAAAATAGGAGTTTCAAAGGGCAATGCTCAGCACTGCATTTCCAATTAATTTCCATGAGGATAAGAGTTATGTTCAGTTCAGTTCAGTTGCTCAGTCGTGTCCGACTCTGCGACCCCATGAACGGCAGCATGCCAGGCCTCCCTGTCTATCACCAACTCCCAGAGTTTACCCAAACTCATGTCCATAGAGTCAGTGATGCCATCCAACCATTTCATCCTCTGTCGTCCCTTTCTCCTCCTGCCCTCAATCTTTCCCAGCATCAGGGTCTTTTCGAATGAGCCAGCTCTTCGCATGAGGTGGCCAAAGTACTGGAGTTTCAGCTTTAGCATCAGTCCTTCCAATAAACACCCAGGACTGATCTCCTTTAGGATGGACTGGCTGGATCTCCTTGCAGTCCAAGGGACTCTCAAGAGTCTTCTCTAACACCACAGTTCAAAAGCATCAACTCTCTGGTGCTCAGCTTTCTTCACAGTCCAACTCTCACCATCCATACATGACTACTGGAATAGTTATGTTAGAAGCACCCAATAAACTTAAATCATCACTAAATGGGCTCCTGCTACAAAATTAACATGTTTAGCCAAAGGAGGTATACAGCTAAAACCTGTGTTTTGAGCTTGCCAATAATTCTTTGGTAACAGAGTTATTAAAAGGGCAGAAATGCTGGGGTACATCTTCTCATGGGACCACTGGGGTTTCTTCTTCTGTCTCCTGGGGCAGCTTCTACCTCAGGTGTCTACATTTGCAGGATCTTTTGAGCGAGGACTATCCTTGGGGGGACAGTGCACACAGATAAACCCTGTGCCTCTGCCTGGAACCTGAGTGCCCAAGTACCAAGTACAAGAACCTCTTTTTGGAACTAGGTTAGCCCGAGAGAACCATACTTTGAGAGCCCAACTTCCTGAGCATACTCACCCAATAGACATGGAAGTCACAAAATGAGAGATGAAGTGTAAGAGATCTGTTAGTAGAAGAAAGTTAAAAAGGAGACAAAATTCATTTTCATGGAAACAGGATTTTCTAGATGTAGGTTAACTTGTGCTGGTTCAGTGCTTACACATCTGTTGGACATTGGGCACTCCGGCTCACAACAGAGACAGTTACTTTGCCCACAGCCCAGGAACTGCCAACCATTTACTTACCTTGTGTACAAATTGTTCCACTCTGGTCTGAAGCCCCCAGACCTCGAACTTCACGGTCACTAGCTTGTAAGAACACATGATGGGCTGATGACTATCTCTCCAGCCTTCCCTTAACTGTCCCCGTCCTGTCTTCTCTGACTTGAAGTGTTTAGGATCCTGGAGAAAAAATACATTAAAGAAATGATAACTTAAAAGTTCAACTGTCATTTATATGAAATAAATGAATATGGAAAGCTAAGTGAAAGAAACCAATCACCATAATAAGTACCTCAAGGAAATGAGGGCTTCTGGGGAGGGAAGGGCTGGTGATCTTGAGTGTGGCTATGTAGCACTTTTGAATCTTCAGTACCAACTATCTATACTATCACCTGAACCAACCCACGAACTGCCATTGAAATTATACATACAGACCTGGGAAGATTATGATGATAACATTATATATGAAAAAGGCATAAGCATAGAGTTTGGTCCATAGCAAGTGCTCAGCTGATGTTGGCCATTACTGTACTTCCCAAGGCAGTCAGTGAAGCCTCTGATGCTCAGCCCTACAGTCCAGGGAAGAATCAGCAATGCCTTTCCAAAGCACCCTGGAATTGCTGGTAAAAGATCTGATGCTTAAGATGATGGGACTAATTCCTGCCTGACTTGTGTTCCTATACCACAAAATGCCAGTAAAAACAAAGAGAGAAGACCAATAAATCAAGAGAATACCACGAGGGAGATTACAGGAGATAATCTCCAAAGACGGCCACCATTAACTCCCTCCCTCACTGTGCCTGCGTGTTGTTCCTCTCACCAAGCTGTGGAGGCTACTTCCCCTCCTCGTGAATCTAGACTGGTCTGTGACTTGCTTTGACGAAAAGAATGTAGCAGAAGAGACATTGTGTCAGTTTGGGTCTTTAAGAGAAGCTGGAGACCAGAAGTCTGCCACAATGCAAAACGTCTTGTTTGATTATCCTGAGACCATCATGGAGTGAGGAAGCCCAAGCCAAGCCTGCCACATGGAGGGCCATGTGAGAGAGGCTCACTCATTCCAGCTGAGAAGCCAGGCACATGAACGATAAAGTCATCTTTAATATTTCAGCTCAAGCCTATACCACGAGGAACAGGAGATCCTGTCCAGCTAAGTCTAGTTGAGATGGCAGAATTGTGAGAACTACCACACTGTTGGTTTAAATCACTAAATTCTGTTTTCCTAAATGGCTAGTCAGTCATCCTATTACTGGCTTATATATTCCTATATATTCCCTCTTTTTTTCCCCACACTGTGCCGCTTGTGAGATCTTAATTCCCCAACCAGAGATTGAACACAGGCAGTGAAAGCACAGAGACCTAACCACTGGACCGCCAGGGAATTCCCATAAGCCACTAAATTCTGGGATGAACTGCTACTTAGCAAAAGAACAAAACAGAAACATCATGTGGATTCCAAACAGATGCAATAACTGGATCTCCAAAGACAAAGGGAAAGAATGCTGCTTTGTTCTTTCCCAGCACTCTCCAAAAGTTCATACCATTAGGTACATCCCCGAAAACTATACACAAGGAAATGTACACTGCCAAGCCATCCCTGCAACTTAAAATACAAAAGTTGGAGTTAAACAGGGGAAGCTGGTTTCTTTTCCCATCTGCCCTTTGACTTTCCCACAAGAGCAAAGTGATGGTGAATAATGAGCACACCAACAACTATCTTGAAGCTCAAAAGACATGGCTTCCACACTGTGGCCGGTCAGAATACACAAAGGCAAACCCTTGTGAACCTGAGTGACGGCTGTCCTACTCCAGTTAGCAACTGGGCAAACAAAGGACAGTTGCAGAGCCAGCAAGCAGCTGAAAGCAAGAGACCAAAGCTCCTGGCAACCCAGACATGTAAGAGACAAAGGACCCAGCAAACAAAACAAGTGTGGTCGTGGCCTGAGCTGCCTTCATTTGTCTCCGGTCCTGTGCAGGGGGCCTGAGAAAGGCCTGAAGACGGAGGCCCCTGGATCAGCTGGGTGCACCCCACACTCGCCTCCCCAACACTAGTACCTGATTCATGGACTAGCCCCAGCTTGTTCTTTCAGCTGACCACTTGCGGAACTTGAAACGATACCTATTGTAGAATCTTCGTGTAGAATCGTAGATTCCAGGCATCTCAAGAATAAAATAAGGCTCTGCAATAATAATTGTGAAACACTGGTAGACTGCATTTCCAAAGTCGTTAAGACTTGTGGGGCCTCACAGCAAACTTCAGATCTGAGAAAGACCAGAAAAGTACTGCCTGCATAGTGAAAACTATGGAGACGCTTAAATCTGTATGTGGGTCCTTTTCCTCATGGAACTACAAAATCATAAAATGATATCAGGCTATCACGAAATAAAGTTTTGGGAAAAGATTAGAAGAGTGTACTGTATTTTCAAGATGCAGAATGGGATTTTTCAGTTGGAAGTGGTAATTTGACTTCATGCCCTTGATTTTATGGATAAGGATACTGAGGCCTCAAAGAATGAAATGTTTTTTTGTCCTCAAACCATAGGCGCTTGGTAACAGGTTTGGGACAAGAATACTAACCTCCCCTAGTTCTAGTTCAATGTTCTTTCCACTACATTTAGTTTTAATATTAAACAGAAAAAGGGTGTTTTTGTTATAGCCAGATGCCAAAGAAGCAATTAACAATTGGGCTTTTTATGGCAACAATGTGTTGATTTTTTGAGAGTCTGGTGTCATATCCATAGCTGCTGATTTCATCTAGTAAATCCATACATGGCCTATAATTAGGGATTCACTTTCAAAGAGCTGGAGGGGAGTAAGGGAGAAGGATTTACCAGAGGACTCCATTAATTCAAAGCTCAAGATCAGAAATGAACATCCAGCTGAAATCCTCTGGATGACAATAAGCAAAATAAAAAAAATATACAAATAAAAAATTTTAAAATCCAACCCAACCACTAGGTCTTTTTTTTTCCCCACTAGGTCTTATTTTGAAGTATTCTGGTCACTGCAGATGTCCCCCTTTGCACAGTCTACCCCTCCCTCTCTATTCATTTTCCCTACCTTTTCCCCAAGTACTCATTTCTCTTGAAGTCTCAAGAGAAATCTCTCTTCAAATCTCATTCTCTCACTTGGGTTTGTGAATATAAATATCTAAACTTCCCATTCATACAGCAGTTGACCTTTCTTACGACTTTAAAAATTTTTTTATTTTTAAAATTTCTAGTTTGTTTCTTTCTATGGCTATAGTATTTTGTATTCTGATTGTATTTCGTATCGTATCGTATAGTATTTCGTATTTTGGTTCTGATTCAAGCTCAGTTATATTATTTATTTTTAATAAAACAACTGGATTGTTTTATGTTTTAAACTTTCATTTCCAGGTTTTCTTATTTTAAAATAAAATTTATAAACTTCCAACTTCATCTTGATGCTAAAAAGTTGGCCTCTGTGCAACGGTGCTGAATCAAATCTTGCAGATAGTTTTGGGTGAAGTAGAAAAGAACAACTTTATTGCTTTGCCAGGCAGAGGGGAGAAAAGTGGGCTTGTGCCTCAAAAATTGTGTTTCCAACCTGGGAGGATTTGGTGAGTTTTATAGCAATGCTTTAAGGGTGGAGTTGCTAATAAGGATGGGGTATATGCAGAGCCCGTAATCCTTTAATCTGACTTTAGATGGTCTCCTGATGAGTTTCTTTGGTTCCTTTAATCTGGGCTCAGAGGGTCTCCTCCCTTGTTTCTGCATCCCCTCCCTTCCCTGACAGTTGTTCAATTGCTCAATCATGTCTGACTCTTTGCAACCCCATGGTCTGCAGCACACCAGGCTTCCTTGTCCGTCACCACCTCCTGGAGCTTGCTCAAATTCATGTCCATTGAGTTGGTGATGTGACCCAACCATCTTGTCCACTGTCGTCTCTTTCTCCTCCTGCCTTCAATCTTGCCCAGGATCAGGGTCTTATCCAGTGTGTAGGCTCTCTACATCAGGTGGCCAAAAATGTATTGAGCTTCAGCTTCAGCATCAGTCCTTCCAATGAATATTCAGGATTGATTTCCTTTAGGATTGACTGACTAGTCTGATCTCCTTGCAGTACAAGGGACTCTCAAGAGTCTTCTTCAACACCACAGTTCAAAAGCATCAATTCTTGGGCGCTCAGCCTTCTTTACACATCCATACATGACTACTGGAAAAACTATAGCTTTGACTATATGGACCTTTGTCAGCAAAGCAATGTCTCTGCTTTTTAATACGCTACCTAGGTTTGTGATAGCTTTTCTTTCAAGGAGCAAGTATCTTCCAATTTCATGGCGGCAGTCACCATCCACAGTGATTTTGGAGCCCAAGAAAATAAAGTTTGTCACGGTTTCCATTGCTTCCCCATCTATTGGCCATGAAGTGATAGGACTAGATGTTATCATCTTATTTTTTTGGAATGATTTGCAATGGTTAGAATATGCCCTTTGGGACTCAGGGAAGGTCATGGAGGTTGGAGTCTATTCCTTACACACAAGAAAAGGGACAGATAAAGGCCCCCCAAACCACGGAACTCCTGGAGCCAAGAGAAGCTAGAAGAAGCAAGAAAGGATTTTCCCCTAGATCCCCACTGTCACTAAGAACTTCCGTTGTCCAGAACTGTGAGAGAAACCTCAGAGGATGAGGAGTATGGTTAAATCCCCATTGCCTCTGATCAAATTCGTCTTGGGTGGGGTCTCTGCATCCAGCATTTCAGAAGCTTCCCGGGTGCCAAATTTAACCACTATTCCAAGGTACAAATGTCATCTCTGTGCTCCAGACGAGGAGCCTGAAGTTTAGAGACAACAGCTGACGTATCCACATTCTAGGACTCAAGCTCAGGTCAAACCGACTCCCAGACCTGGGCTCCCTGCACCTAGACTATGAAGATTCCCATCTGAAATTCTGGCGCAATCTGTCAGAGGGGAGCTTCAGTCTCCTCATTCGCATGAAGGTGTTAGTACTAACTCCGCTGTGGGACTGCTGCAGGGCTTAAGCTGGATAATGTCGGGAAGTCCACAGCCCAGTGCCCAACAGGTGATGCATGAGACACAGATGTCCCAGAGTGATAAGAGGCATATGATTCGGAAACATCCTTGAGAGATACCACAATTCAATTTCCTCAAATCTCATTAAGATCCTCAGGAGAAAGGAAGCAGCAATATCTTAAGCACTGT